GGGATCGCTACTACTACAAGTTTCCTGGTCTCATCTCAGCCTTCCTTGATTCGAGTACGGATCCTCTGCTTTCAGTAGTACGGGCCCATACTACCTTCCACATCTATCCGTACTTTCCTCAAGAACTACCTTGACTCCACCAAGTCCCTTTTACTACCATTGCTCTCTGCTACACTCATCCTAGGCTTGCCCTAGGGTAATCACCAACCCACTCTCCACTATCAGCTGCACAAGAAGTCCCGACTACCTCCCCCTAACTAGCTCGTGAATACTATTACATATCACTAAGACTAGATAATTATTCGAATGAGAGATCCTACCCTACAACGGTTGGACTCAGACAAGAGTTGCGCAATAGAGCTAGACCTAACCTTCTGAAATTATTTAATCCTCACAATATGTAACGTAACATATTCATTTACTAGTTAGTGAAAAATAACCAAGACTCCTAAAAGCACAAAGCAAGCAACATTCAAGCATCGAGTACACATAATCAAGCATATACTACTCTGGCTATCATACTGGCAATTCTGTACTAGCATGCAGTTTTCATAGAGCCGAAACACATATAACAGACACATAAGGCATCCTTCCTAGATCCTTAGTCCTAATCTAGCATGCTGTTCTAATAAAGCTGGTAATCATAACATAGCATAAACTCGTATGGATAATTTGGGAGTACTTACTTGAGCTCGGCTGATTGCATGCACCACACCCTTTTTTTTTTCTTTTCAAAGTTCTTTTCTTTGTAAAATTCTTTTTGCTTTTCTAAAACTCTTTTCTTTTGAAAACTCTATACCACTTCCTTAGTTTGAGTTCAGACACACCCGAAAGTGTGCCCGAATCCCTCAAACCAAGGCTCTGATACCAACTTGTAACATCCCAAAAATACAACCCAAAAATTTTTGTTTGAAAACTTTACTAAACCATAATATCAAATATTAAAAGATAAAACCATGAATCATGTGTCTCAAAATGTCATAATAAAATTATCAAATCGAAACTAGTGTCAAGATCATATCAAAATATCAGAGTCTAACTCCCAGGCTAAAACTGTGGTGTGTGCCATGCCATCATCCCGAGCCCTTCCCTTTGCTAGCTTAAGTACCTGAAACCAAAACTGAAACTGTAAGCACGAAGCTTAGTGAGCTCCCCCAAACTACTAGATACCATATAATAACGTATAAAGCACATACTGGGCCTTGCCCACTGCATCGGACCGAAATCCGGAACTAACTAGGGCCTTGCCCACTGCATCAGACCGAAGTCCGGAACTGCATCGGACCGAAGTCTGGAACTGACTAGGGCCTTGCCCACTGCATCGGACTGAAGTCCGGAACTGCATTGGACCGAAGTCCGAAACTGACTGAACATAGCATAACATAATCATAACATATAATATGAACACATATACTGCATACTATATCGGACCATAGTCCGGAACACATAACACATACCATGCCTATATCATAAAGACACCAAGCATACTGAACTACTGCATCGGACTGAAGTCCGAAACTACTACTAACTAAACGGGTCGGCATTGTGGCCGTAGATTCGTTCCTACTGGAAGGAAAAACTCACCTCGTAAGGCTGGCTGCTGAAATGCTGCTCGGGAACTGTCTGACTGCTGCTCCGGTAACTCCCCGGCTACAATTCCCAAAAGACACTTAATCAGACACTGATAGCTAATCTTAGGGTAAGATGACTATTTTACCCCTGGTCAAAGTCAACAATCCGTTGACTTGACTCGCCGAGTTGGGCCGCCAACTCGTCGAGTCCCTATCTTTCCTTCTACTCCCCTTCCCGACTCTACTCGTCGAGTTTAACCAAAACTCGACGAGTTCTCCTTCTTTACTGATATCCTACCAACCTTCATCCGACTCGCCGAGTTGTATGAACAACTCGTCGAGTCTGTTCTTACGGGTAAGGAGATTGCCTTGGACTCGCAGAGTCAGGGCGTAAACTCGTCGAGTCCCTCTACACTCAGATCCATGTCTTAACTCACCGAGTCTTTACTCCACTCACTAACGGACTCGCTACTACTGAACATGGAATCTAAGACTCGCGACCAGACTCGCCGAGTCCGAAGAACGACTCGCCGAGTCCTTTGCATGCAGTTTCTATTCAGTCGATTCTAATCAGTTTCAGTGCATCCAATTCATAGATCTGGGTTTCTGGGACAATCTGAACACGTAAAGTTGCTAACTTTACGTGTATCTATGATGAAATGAAGCAATAACACTCAAACTTGGCTATAATGGGGGTTACTTGTCTAGAACAAGGCCATGGCTGCCAAAAGGTGGCCTTCTTGAGCTCCTGGAACTCAAGAGAGGCTAGATCTGAGATATGGCTTGATTACAAAGCTTCATCACTAGGGATTTGGGGTTTTTGAGCTCAAAACCATCAATTTAGGGACAAACTAGATCTAGAAATACAATAACCAAGATGAAAGCTTTATTACCAGAAATGATGGGCAAAGAGGAGTATAATCTGGATCTACTTATTCTTCCTTGAGTTCTTCTACCTTCTCCTTCTTCTGCTTCTTGCTCAACAATGCACCAAGATTCCTTTACAAGGGCAAAAATCACTCACAAACACTTCAAGGAGGCTAGGGTTTCGGGAATAAGTCTCTGAGAGGTGAAGGTGGCTGGTTTGGGGCTATAATGATGTTTAAATAGGGTACACTCCCTAAAATTAGGGCTTCATCCAGACTGGCGGACTCGCCGAGTCCGGAATATGGACTCGTCGAGTCGCCACGCCTACTCCACGTGCTAAATCGCTGCTACTCGACGAGTTAGGGCCACTGACTCGTCGAGTAGCTTCTAAAATAAAAAGAAAAATAATGTTTTAAATGCATACCAGGAACGGGGCGTTACAAAAATGCTATATAATATTATTATCGAGCAAGTCTATAATCTCAACTCTAAACCAAAACAAAATTTTGATCATCATTTTTATCTTGGTAGATTAACTTTACCTTGGCTAAGCAACTTATTTTTTTTTTACCAAAATCTCACTAGGAATTTTTTTACACGCTTTCAAGTATGGGTTTAGTATTAACCAAGTGCTTTCTCTCTAGATTACTATTTTATTTATATATATTACTATATTGAGATTGAGATGTTTAATTAAACATAAAAGAATAACCAAAATATGTACAAAGCGTGGGAATAAATGCAAATAAAAAGAAAATTGAAATTATAGTCTTAAAAAAGAAGAATGCTGGTGGTAATCGGTAGGCCCACGTTGCTTTAATGAAATAAATAAATAATACTCAACTTTGAAATATGATAGGCCTACTAATCCAATTCAAGTTTGCTTACGAGTTGCAAATAGACTAATAAGTTGGAACTTAGAACCCAAAAAAGCAAGGGGGCCATGACCCCCCTTGGCCATAACTGAGTTCCGCCACTGCTTGCTGATTTGATGAAGTATCTGCAATTAGTTGTATGTTTAGCGTCTAATTAGTGTTTGAAGCACATAATTTAATCTGAATCCTGACTACATTCCTGGTTTGCTATCTAATTCCTGTCAAGATTTGGTTAGGTATTTGTTTCTTGTCTAAAATTTTGTCAAAATAAATTTAGGGGTGTCTTATTGATTGTATGCTTGTTGTTATGCATTACAAGACCTTACTTGGATGGTCAACAATTCTTCTTGTTGTATTAATCTTGATTTTTTTCCTATAGGAGAACGTTTATGTAGTAGAGGATGGAACATTTGTTTTTTTTTTCCAGCTACCTCTTCTATCTTCCTAGTATTGTGGAATCTTACAAAACTTATGATGAAAATATTCAGATCAAATAGTTGGGAGTCTGATTTAAATGTATAGTTGCCCTCTCCAGAGCCTATAAATCCTCTACCATTATTAATTGATATTTGCTAATTTGGGTCAAATTATTTTTGTTTGTTGGATTTTATTGACATATGGCTACTTCTTTTGTTTGGAAGACATGACTTTATTGTGCATAAAATGTGATATTGCTTTGTTACATAGGGTTTACTCTAAAAGAGTACAAATAGTCATTTTAGCAAGATAAAGGTAGATTTTTTTTAATTAATTAATTTATTTATAGTTTTATGTTTGATTTTAGTAGAAATGAATAATAAACTTAGTGAGTTGGATACAATCTTAAAGTACGATGCTAAAATTGGATACAATTTCAAAGTTCAGTGTTATTGATGGTTGGTTTCATTTATATAGAAAATATGAATTTGTATCATTTGTGTTGCAGATAGAACATAAGGATAAAATGATCATTCTCATCATTCAACACAATCAATCAGACGTATAATCAAACAACATGGTTCCAATCAGATATAGATTTAGTAGATTCAGTCAGACTTTTGTCAATAAGACATCTCTGACTCACTCAGCCATACATTAACAAGTCAGCCATTGTAGCCATTGTTAACAGACATTGTTAATGAATGTCTGACTCAATCATCAAGTATCAAACAACCTCTAAATCTCACATTCATTATGCAAAATATTGAGAACAACCACAACTCGGTATAATGGCAGATAACAAACATTTGCTTATTCGAGTAACTTTTGAACTTTTGATAGCCCATGGAAGTCCTCTCATTAATCAATAATATACATATCCTCTCTAATAAATGAATGTTTTTTTTGCCACTTGTCACTCTTACATTAACTTGGACACATGTTATTTTTTGGTATTTTTGAATAAATGTTTTTCCATTTGTCATTTTATCATTTTTTATCTTTTCTTAATTAACAAATCAAATTTACACATCAATTAATAATTGCCTTAATTAATAATAGTCAATAAATTACAATATTAATACTTATATATTGTATTTAATATGTTTCCTTTTAAATTCAAATTTTAAATTTTAAATTTTAAATTTCAAATCTAAAATTTCAAATTTAAATAAATTTTTGTTTAAACACTCATATACATATTTTTTTGTTTTACTAAACCCGTATAACATACGGGTCTCACAACTAGTAGAAAAATATAAAACAATGAGCCAAGATAAATACAAAGGGCAAGATAAACATACAATATAATCATAATACACAAACACCCCGTAGTTTGAAAATCAGTACGACACACCGGACATTCAAACGGGACCGGAATCAAAGAAAAACGTCAAGGGTAGCTATTTATGTGATATTTTTTTTTCCTAAATACAAACATGAGACCATAAAACCATCAAGTGTTTGCCACATAACATTTTAACACATGCTTTTCAAATGCATGTTACAAATAGTATATGACAGTTACTTATCTAGTATTTTCCCTAAATACCAAACCCCTTTCCCACCCCTAATATTAACAAAATTGGGGAAGGCTTCATCAGTAGGGACTAAAATTGAAAATATCCAGTTGTTTAACGCGGTTTCACTTTCAAAAGCAAGCAGCACACCCCCACACCCTCCACCGCCGGTGGTGGTTTCATCGCCGTTAATCAAGTCAGGTAAACTTGACATTGTACAACAGTTTTACCCACCTTGAACCCCGGAACCACCGTGAACGCCACTTCCCGGGAGCTTTCCGGTGACAAGAATGCTTCATCGTTCACGGACTCCATAAACACCTCCGAGAAACGGTTGCCGTTTCTCACCTGAAAGATCGATGCTCCCTCTGGATCGAATGAGAACGCCAGACAATGTAAAAGCCAAACCCGTTTTGCCGCCTCTGCAAACGACTCGAAGAATGTCGTCTCCGGGAATTTTCCGGCAGTCACCAAACTTCTCTGATTCAAGTTTCCAAAAAGGGAAGATTCCATTTTGGGATGAACAAGTCTCAGGTATTTAAACCAACAAAATTTAGCGAATGTCGATTTTGGTTTCCATGTTACGTATTCCCTTGCTTTCAAGTATTTCAACTCCATAAATCTGTCGAAGAACAATTTCTGGCGTTTTGCCTTGTTGGATAGGTCCCGACGATCGCCGGAAATGGAAAAATCCGGGTAACTAAATCCATCAAATATTTCTCTGCAAACAAACGATTCAAATGCATAACATCTATCCGTTGTGTTCCAATAAACAACCTCCGGTTGGATTGATTCAGCCGCTGCATCCAGATCCCAATTCGCATACTCCATTTCAGTAATCATGAACTTCACCAGACTTCGAATCGCTTTCATGGTGTGCTTGAGAGCTAATACGAAATCGGTTGGGGTCAATTTTGAGAAATGAAGGTTTTCGTGACGTGATAAAGGACCACTCGAATTCAACCTCCTCTCGATCAATTTGTTCTCCCTTTCAGCTTCCTCCAATTTCTCCTTCAAAAACACAATCTCTGAATCCTTGAGCCGACTCTGGTTCGCTAGCTTCTTTCGTGTTATCTCGTATGTTTTTGATAGATTCTTCTGCTCTTGGATCTCAGCCAACAGGATTGTGGTTTCCGGAGAGGCGTCGTCGATATGGTTTTTCAAATACGATTGTTTAAATTCCGATAACCTCTTCAACTCCGTGACCACGATCTGATCAGCCGATTGAATTCCGTCAGCGTCGTATGGAGATTGAGCATCCTGCAACTGAGCGTATGCCGCTTTCACGGACGATAGGGTTGCAAAAACTTTGGCGATGAAGGCATCCATGGCTGCTTTTTCCTGAAATTTCTCATCTTCCTCGTTGAAGAACTTACCAATGGGTTTCTCATCCGACTTTACTTTCTGAACTTGATCAATCGTCGTTACAGGTTGAGGTCGAATATGCAACACCTTGGCAAAGGTACGAGCCAATCTACTCTTTCTTGGGGTCACAGCTGATCGATTAACTGAATCCATCTGAAACAAACAATCTGAAACTGTTTATGAACAGACGATGATATGATAAAGAAGGAAGTATGTATGAACATGGTGTAAGAAAAAGATGAAAGCAATGAGCTTTTCGTATAAATAATAGAAAAAAAAAAAAAAGCAGAATGCTTTAACTCTTGGATCGAGGCCATTACCAAACCTTTTCCTTCGATTTGTTTTTGTTTTTTTATTTGAAAAACAAAGAGAATGAAATCAAAATCAGATTGTATAACTTGAGAAATTCCCTATTTTGACTTTTGATTTTATTAAAAGGACGTCCGTGGTTAATACATATCTAAAGAAGTCGCCATCAAATGTTCAAAGGACATGTTGATATTAGTATTCGGTCCTATTCACATACCTTCTTTGAAAAGAATTTGGCAACCTATACGAAAGAGACGGTATGATTTATGATTTAATTCAACAAAACTTTATTCTTAAGGCTAATTACAATAAATAGCAATGTACTTTTATACATTTGTCTATTGCAACATTCTGCTTTCACTTTTTTCTATTACAACATCATACTTTTATTATAACATCCAATAAATATCAATGTATTTTATATATTGTACTTCATTTTTTTTCTGTTTTGTTTTGATGACATTGTTATAAGTAGGTAGGTTTTTGAAAAGACAATGCATGTATGAAAAAAGGAAAATAACATAGAAACTACAATTGTTATTTCTTACAATCAAATCTTATTCTTATATCCATATGTATCATTGTATTTTACATCGTGGAATGTGATAAGGGTTAAGGATTCTCTTGGAAACTCCATGGACAATGCCTTATTTAGAAAAATCGTATCACTAAGGGCATCTTCAACCCACCCCAAACTCTATTTTTTTTCCCATTTCTTCCCTCATTCTCCTCCAACCCTACCCCATTTTCATCTCTATTTTTGAAAATATGAATAGTATTCCCTAAAATTTGGGGGAATACTATTCATATCTCCAAAAATGGAGTTGAAGTTTTGGTTGGTGGCGTTACCAGCTACACCATTCCTAATTCCTTGGTGGAGCGGTACCACCAGATTGGTAATATCTCGGATTACCTAAGTCATGGTTCTCTCTTTTCACTATTTGTGTCATATGCTGTAAAACTTATATCGAGGGGTTTAGGTTGGGAGTGATGGATTTTCATGTGTCGTGGGTTGAGATAATTGGATAGAAATACTGATGTGGCGCCTACGTCACAAGTGGGTTGGGAGATGTGGAAGGAATGAACTCCTTCCACCCTGCGGGCATCTTTAACCCAACAATATATATTACACCAAATTTGGTATTGACGAATAATATAACATCAAATATAATATTATACTATTACTGACACTGAATATAATGTTAGAGTTTCACTAATGCAATTGTTCTTTTAACTTTGAACTTATTCATTTTTATATTTAAATTGATACTTGTTTTATTAAAAAAATAGTTGTATCAATGATACCCTAGTTTATCATAGTACAAATAATTTATTGTGGTTATCAACGTATACTAATATAATCTCTAAAGTTGTATAAAAAGGTTATGTACCAAGTTTGTACAATGCTAATAAATATAAAAGTGGTCTTTTGTACCATAAAAGTTAGATAAAAATAATATAGATTATTATATTTTTGCTGTTAAATATAATATAACTAGAAAGTGCCTCCTCCCCACTTCGAGGGGACGCAGGTGGGGAGTCTACTTATGTCCGTTTTATGGGGGATGTAATTTGTAAATTTTCTATTAGATAGGGATCATTTTTCTATTTTATTAAACACATGGACCAAAGAGTATACTATTTAAACACATGGACTATTTCTGTAAAAAAAATGCATAGGGAACTTTTATTATAGGGAGTGTTTTGTGATTTATTTTCTAAACAGGGACCAACCATGCCAACATACGAAAGTATTGTGGTCAAAGTCTAAAACTTAAATGTGAAAAAATGCATAGGGACCCTTTTTGTATATCAAAGGGACAACTTTTGTAATTTATTTTCAGCACATGGACCAAACATGCCAATATACGAAACTATTGTGGCCAAAGTCTAAAACCTAAAAATAAAATATTCATAGGCTAGGGAGTGCTTTTGTGATTTATTTTCTAAACAGGGACCAACCATGCCAACATACGAAAGTATTGTGGTCAAAGTCTAAAACCCAAATGTGAAAAAATGCATAGGGACACTTTTGTAATTTATTTTCAGGATATGGACCAATAATGCCAACATACGAAACTATTGTGGCCAAAGTCTTAAACCCAAAAATAGAATATTCATAGGCTAGTTGCTCATAAAACATGTGGACCATTTCTGTAAAACAAACGTATAGGGACATTTTCTATAAATTACAAGGAGTGATTTTGTAATTTATTTTCTATACAAGAATCAAACCTGTCAACATATGAAAGTATTGTGGGCAAAGTCAATGCACATTGACCTCTCTTAAAATGACAACTTTTGTTATTTATTTTCAACACAAGGATCAAACTTACCAACATAAAAAATATTGTGACCAAAGTCTAAAACCCAAAAATATACTATTTATAGAGTAGTTGCTTTTCTAGTGCAATTTGGTCCACATCCTAAAGAATATGTACTATTGTGGCGAGTCTAATACCCAAAAATATGTACTATTAGTAGGCTAGTTGCTCATTAAACATATGGATTATTTCTGTAAAAAAAAATATTGCAGGGATCTTTTCTGTAAAATTACAAGGAGTGATTTTGTAACTTATTTTCTATATAGCCACCAAACCTGCCAACATATGAAAGTATTGTTTGTAAAATCTAAAGCCAAACGTAAAAAAATACGTAGGGACCTCTTGTGTAAATTAAAATGACAACTTCTGTGATTTACTTTTAAAACAGAGATCAAACTTACTAATATAAGAAAGTATTATGATAAAAATCTAAAACCAAAAAATATACTACTCATACGCTAGTTTGCTTTTCGAGTGCAATTCGTCCTAAAGAATATGTACGAAAAATATCATCATAATTCATATAAAGATTAATTATCAATCCACTCACTCGTAAAATATTCTTAAAAGGGTCTGATGGATTGGTATAATAACGAACTATCTTATTTGTACTAATTTGACATATATAATGTAAATATTGATTTAATGACCTAAGTGGCAAATAAAACAATTTATTGCTTAAATTAGTAAAAGTGAACACACGTTAAACATATTTATTGATAACAATAAGATATTTCCTTGAATATTCTATAAGTAATCATGCACCAAATGATAATATAACTTTAGAAAGTCATCCTTTAATTATTGTATATATTGTATACCAAACCCCAGATTAAAATACACAAACAGTTAACTGATTTGGTATAACAACTATCTTATTTTACATATTCTTGTAACAAGTTATTTTACAATATATAGTCACTAAACCTATAAAACCTGTTATTTAGGTCATAGGGTCACTAAAAATTGCATGTATCATGCCAAAATCTAACATAAATATGTTAGTTTGAGAAACCAATTAGCAAAGAAAATACTTTATAATAACAAATCTAATTTATTTCTAAAGTAGTTAAAACGTAACCTAACCCTCGATCTCAAGAAAACAACACCTAACAGGTTATTGCCGTTGGTTAAAAGCTTTTGGTAAAAAATAATTTATTATTTAAATTGACAAAAATAATATATGAGCCGGATATTACGTGAAAAGACTCTATTATATTTCCATTGAACAAAGAGCCTTGCAATTGCATCGTCAACAGAGCCCCACAAAAAGCAAAGCTTGTCTACATGCGACTGATAAAGAAAAAGTAACCCCACTTCTCACATTTCGAACGTTGCTAAAATGCAGTAAAAGAAAAAAAAAACAATTTTTGAAAAGTATCCCGACATTTCGTATTTCGCAACAATCAATGCCATTAAAAACTCAAAAACATACCTTTGTTTGTAGAGAAGAAAGACCAGTTTGTTTGCTTGTAAAGCTTAAGAAAGCATGATTTCAGTCCTTTAATGGCGACCCCTGAAACTGAAAGCAGGAAAACTGAAAGGGGAAGAAGATGAAAAGGTAGAAATTAACAAAAGCTAATTAAAACCTCCGACAATTTAAAGCCATAATTCTTGTTTGTTCGAATCGCACCAAACGCTGTTTTGCTGTAACCAGGTGTTTTATACATTATTAAATACAAATTAAATAAAAAATAGATTTAAAAACTCCTTTTGAAATTGAATCAATGGTATAAGTTATAACTTACCAGAAAAGAGTGAAATTGATATTAGGAATTTATCATATGTTGAAAATTGTAAAGAATGAAGGTGTGATAAAAGGAAGAAAGTTAAGGTGTTTAATAGAGAAAGAAAAGAGGGAAAAAACGAAGAAAAGTCAAAGCGTTAGATGGCAGCTGATGCTGAGCCCGGAATTAAAAAGCTAGGTTTTACTGTTTTAGTGTGTTTTTACCGTTTTGTCCTTGGTTGTGTTGGGGCATTGTTTATTCAGATTTTTCCCGGTAGGGGTTGGTGTGGTAATTCTCATTTTGGTGTCTTAAATAACTAATTGAGCGGTAGTTTAGTAATTATGTGGAAGTACTTTAGAGGTCGAATGAGAAATAAACAAATAAAGACAAAATTGCAAGTTTGGTCATTTGATATGTCAAATATGATATTTGATCTAAAATTTTTTGGAGTTGCACGAGTAGTCCAAAATAATTTTTTTTGTAGTTTTGGTCCATGAAGAAATTTAAATGAGTTAGAATGACTATTTTACTCTTTTTCATTGCTTATTATTATTATATTTATTTATTTCATTCATTTTTTTAAATGAACAATAAAATAAAAATCTCTCTCTCTCTCTCTCTCTCTGTGTGTGTGTGTGTGTGTGTGTGTGTATGTGTGTGTGTGATAAACACCCAAGAACATATTCATAGATTCAAGAACACTCAAGAACATCTTCCGCCACCACCACCGTTCGACTACAGTCCGCCATCACCATCGTCTAGCACTTCCATCTCCACCTAAACTTTTTCTACCACTTTATGTCCGCCAAATAATCATCCCAGAAACAAAAAATCATACATAAAATTAGATCAGATGTACACACACGAAATCAAATAAACACAAACGCAGACGCACGAAATCAGATGAACACACACACACACACACAAATGAAATCGGATGAACACCCACCCTAACCAAACTAGAACCTCTTGATGAACAGATCTGAAGCATAAAACCCTAACTTAAGAACGAAGACGAAAACCCTATCTGAAGAAGGAAGCTGTCATCGAGATCTAAACATCTGCTTACGGCGGCTACGAGAGTTAGGTTTCTTGTCGGCTAGGGTTTTCATTTCCGAGGGTTAGGATGTGGGGCGTTTCGTGACTAGAAATCGAGGGGGAGACACCTGGGGTTGATTTGTCGGAGCCGGGAGGGTCAAATAGTGGCTGGGGAGCTGAGAACGACGGTGGAACGAGATGACAGCCGATTCTTCTAGTTGCCTTCTTCTCGGTTGTTAAGCCTCCGATGAGGTTGTTGCCATCGATCAAGGGGCATCAGAGCAGGGGATGAAGGAATGTGAGATCTCGAAGGCGGCTGAAGCTCTAAAAACTAGAAGGGTGGCGGCTGAAACCCTAACCGAAGGCGAGAAAGAATGCAGATCGGAGGCAATAAAGAAGGTTTTTCTTCAGGGATCCGACATTTTGTTTGTGAAGGAGTTTCTTCATAGGCACGACCATCACCGACAATTTAGGCTCTACAGGTGGCGACATGGGTGATATTAGCAGCCATGGTCTAAGCTTGTTGGAACAAGTTTGGAGGTCAATTAGGGGTTGCTAGGGTTTAGCATCCATGGAGAGAGAGAGAGAGAGAGAGAGAGAGAGAGAGATTTTCTTTTTTTAATTGTTGCAAAGAAAATATAAAAAACTAAATTAAAAGGGAAAATTCATCATTTTAAATATTTTCAAATAAATTTGGACCATATGCACAACAAATGAAACCTTTTGGACCACTGATGCAACTCTAAACAATTTTGGACCAAACATCCAATTTTTGACATACAACAGGGACCAAACTTGCAATTTTGTCATAAATAAACAAGTAGTTGTGAGCGAATTAATTAGGCATTCGTGTCCTTCAAACAGATAATCTGTAACTTTATATTTCTAACGACCTGAAAAATTAGAGAAAAAAAAATAAATTTAGTCTAATCTTATAATTACTTATTAAAAATAGTAAAAAAAAAAATCCAAATAGCCGTTGAAATCGCATATGGTTTTTATTAGGCTGCGATTTTATTATTGACACGAACCCGTAAATCCATTGACCATTGTATTAAGGCTATTCTCATTAGTAACCAAATCCAACCTAATTTTTCTATAAAAAATTAATTTATATTTCTTCCACCTATGCAATCTAATCAAATCTAATTTTTTACATTCGTTAGCAACCCAATCCAAACTATTTTATATTACAATTTTCTATTTATAAAACTATATCAATATCAGCCTTATTTTATAAAGAAAATTTAATTAACTATTTTGATATATTTTATTATTAAAGATAAAGTTTACTTATTAACAAAAGTTAGTTTTTGGTATAAACTTAATTGATTTCCTCTAATAAAGTTGGACACGTAGATATCACCTTGCTATACAACCTCAAGTGATCGGAGGCGTAACCACAAGCTGATTCACCAAGGATTGTCTAATTCTAATTTTTTTAATATTTCTTTTGCCACGAGCGGCTCGCTAGAACCCCCTAAGGCCATGCGGAGCGGAGCGGGAAACAGGTGCGGAAGGGCTTCCCTCTCACCGGAACACCGCACCGTCGGTGAGGGGAGCAATCCGCGGGAAGGAGATGGGGGGAGGCGGTGCCGCACTCTCTCTCTCTCTCTCTCTCTCTCTCTATCTCTCTCTCTCCTGTTTCTATTGGTCAGTTCTTTTTTTTTTTTAAATCTTTTCTAATATTTATAAAATTATATACCTATTAAAAAAATATAAAAAATATATCAAAATTTATGGTTTTTAATTCCCTACAAAATGAATATAATATATGTATGAAATATATTAAAAAAAATAAAAAAATAGTGAGGGGAGGTTCCCACCCATTCATTCGGTTTAGGTGAGGGAAAGAAAATTGAGAGAAAGGGTGGTGTGACCCACAAAAAGTGAGAGAAACTCCCCACCCATACCCTCCGGTCTAATGGGGGTAGTCTAAAGGTGTAAAAAAAAATCTATTATCATTTTTACATTTTCAATAGTCTAGCAAAAAATGTCATGGCCAATAGACGAAAACACTTCATTATAACTATTCTAATATTCATCTAAATTCAAGTTAAATAATCGTAAATAACTATTTGTATCTAATATGCGTGAATTTTTTGTACATTTTTATTTGAAGTTAGAGAAAATCGAAGATAAGAATAGTTTATCTGAGATTGTATAAGTGTCTAATGCATAATGCTACGGTTAAACATTAATAGTAGAAATCACAAATGAGTTGCATGAAATCTCAGATGAAATAAAAGATATTTCAAATATAGGAAATCACGATTAATTTAAATGAATTTCCATATGAGTTGGAAGAAATCTTAGCGTATCTAGGACCCTACTCTATTTTCTTATTATACTTTATTTGCAGAGTGTAAAATAGAGTAAAAGGCTCAAATACATAGGACCCTACTCTATTTTCTTATTACACTTTATTTGCAGAGTGTAAAATAGAGTAAAAGGCTCAAATACAACTCTCTTTTCTTATTACACTTTATTTGCAGAGTGTAAAATAGAGTAAAAGGCTCAAATACACTCTACAAATAGATAAGTGAATAATAACACTCTAAATTTGGAGTGAAAACTATACACTCCCTCACACACTCTCTTTTTACACTTTAGTTTTGAAGTATAAAATACAATTTAATGAGGGTTGGTTTGGAGATAAACCACTCCAAAACTCTATTTTACATTCTAAAAATAAAGTGTGATCGGGGATGTTTTTAGCTGACTACCTCTAATTCATTCTAGATTACAATTAGATTGTTTTATAAACGTTAAACATTATTTCTTCTTTCAATATATTTTTTTCCAACCTTAGACCATCTTCAAACCACCTTTATTTTTCCTCCAAAAAATGGAGTAAAAAATTAGGTAATAGTATTTCATGTCCAATCCATCTTTATTTTTTATCCTTAAAAGTATATTTTTAGTATATTCCATTCTTCCAACTTACATAGATTGTTAAACACACCCTTCTACTAATTTGATTTTAACAAATATATAATCTATATAGTTTTCATTACAATAATATTAAATAAAAAAAATTATATAAGGTTAACTTCATGTTTACTTGCATATCGTGTTTGTAAGATATATTTTAATAATAAGCTTCTGTAAATACCTTATCGTGTTTCATGATTTTAATATGTATTTCAATTTTTATATGAACTCGATAAATAAATAAATAAAATTATATTTATGATTAATTAATATAATTTATTATATAACAAAATATTATAAGTATTAAATATTATATTTAAATTAAAACTAATATATAAAATAAACTAGAAATGTATAAATATATAAAACGAGAGATTAAAACCGACAATTGAAACTTCATCCCCATATTTGGAAAAATGAATAGTATTACTCCATATATGGGGTAATATTATTCGTATTTTCAAATATGGGTGTAATGCTCATAAAAATCATGTGAGGAGGTGTACGATCACGCCTTCCCTTTCCCGCGATCGTCAGAAGTACCTGAAACAAAATCAACAACTGTAAGCCTGAAGCTTAGTGAGTTCCCCCCAAAATACCAACGCCCTACAGATATAACCATATCATATAACAAATACAGCATGCATAATGAGCCATCAGTCTGACTGGACCGCCTCGCAGGCCATCAGTCTATCTGGACCGCTCTCCGAGACATCGACACGTCTTGAACGCCCTCTCGGGGCCTTCAGCCTATCCGGACTGCTCGTCGGGCCTTCGGCCTGACTAGTATGCCCTAACCGGGTCTGCAGTCTATCCGGTCCGCCCTAGGTGTCTTGGCCTACAGCACAAAGCAGGATCTGCCTCAACCCAATCCCAATCCCAACAAACATGTGCACATAATATCATACGCTAACATGCAATAACAGATAGTAATACAGATCTAACAGATCACTAACATGGCAACCATCCTATAACCAGGATACCGATCTAACCGATCAATAACATAGCAACCATCCTATAACCAGGATACCGATCTAACCGATCTTTAACATAGCAACCATCCTAAAACTAGGATGAAATCTAACAGATCAATGACATAGCAGCCATCCTAAAACCATGATGAAATCTAACAGATCAATAACATAACAACCATCCTA